TGGGAATTCTGGGATTTACGGGATTTATTCCTGGGATTAATTTGTGGGAATTCTGGGATTTATTGGATTTATTCCTGGGATATATTTATGGGAATTCTGGGATTTATGGGATTTATTCCTGGGATTTATTTATGGGAATTCCGAGATTTATTCCTGGGATTTATTTGTGGGAATTTGGGGATTTTGCAGATTTATTTCTGTGGTTTAGTTACGGGAATTCCGGGATTTATTCCTGGGGTTTGTTTGTGGGAATTCCGGGATTTACGGGATTTATCCCTGGTATTAATTTGTGGGAATTCTGGCATTGATTTATTTCTGGGAATTTCGGGATTTCTGGGATTTATTCCTGGGACTGGTGGGGTTTAGTTCCGGGAATTCCGGGATTTATTCCTGGGATTTATTTGTGGGAATTTGGGGATTTTGCAGATTTATTTCTGTGGTTTAGTTACGGGAATTCCGGGATTTATTCCTGGGGTTTGTTTGTGGGAATTCCGGGATTTACGGGATTTATCCCTGGTATTAATTTGTGGGAATTCTGGCATTGATTTATTTCTGGGAATTTCGGGATTTCTGGGATTTATTCCTGGGACTGGTGGGGTTTAGTTCCGGGAATTCCAAGATTTATTTATGGGAATTCTGGGATTCATTCCTAGGATTTATTTATGTGATTTCTGGGATGTATTCCTGGGAATTCTGGGATTTCTGGGATTTATTTATTGGAATTGCGGGATTTATTTATGGGAATTCTGGGATTTCTGGGATTTATTTATTGGAATTGCGGGATTTATTTCTGGGAATTCTGGGATTTCTGGGATTTATTTATTGGAATTGCTGGATTTATTTATGGGAATTCTGGGATTTCTGGGATTTATTCCTGGGATTAATTTGTGGGAATTCCGGGAATTCTGGGATTTATTCCTGGGACTGGTGGGGTTTAGTTCCGGGAATTCCAAGATTTATTTATGGGAATTCCGGGATTTATTCCTGGGATTTAATTCTGAGAATTCTGGGGTTTATTTATGGGAATTCCAGGATTTCTGGGATTTATTTCCACTTTAATCGTAATTATCTCAATTAATTAACCCTTTGTGTGCCAGTGACCTGCTGCAGAACGCTCTTATTGATATTTATATTGATATTGATATTGATATTGATATGGATATTTATATTGATATTTATATTGATATTTACGTTGATATTTATATTTTTTAATTTATATTTTTATTTCCTTTCCTTATTAATTAATCTCAATTAATTACCCCCCTGTGTGCCAGTGACCTGCTGCAGAATGCTCTTATTGATATTGATATTGATATTGATATTGATATTTATTTTATTTTATTTTTAATTTTTTATTTTTAATTTCTATTTTAGTTTTCCCTTTCCTGTTAATTAACCGGTGTTTAATTAACCCCGTGTGTGCCAGTGACCTGCTGCAGAACACTCTTATTTATATTTACATTTACATTTATATTT